TAGATGCACAGGATATATATGTATATATATATATATATATACAGAGAGAGAGAGGTCTTCTAAAAGGAGGGTAATTTACTTTACTGGACTGTACTGCAATGAATAAATAAATATATAGCATTAAAAAAAAGAACTCTTCTACGAAATTCAGAATTTTATAAATCATTCACTATGACACTTCATTTCTCTAAATTTTTTCTCTCTATTTCCAACAAATAAAACTCTTCGTAAAATATTAGCTACAAAATAAAAGCAATTTTTCTATGTTGATTTCATATATTTAAGCTGTCTGGAAGCAGAAATGTATCACAAAAAAAAAATTTGACTCTTGCAAATATCCTGTAAAGGAACTTGAAATCAATCTTAACACTCCTTTGAAGTTAATAATTTATTTATCGCCTTTCTTTTCAAACATCAGAATTCATAATTTATTGTGTCTACCAAAAAGAGATCGAACAAAAAGAAGGGAGACAATAGACTCTTATAAAAGCAATCATTGAAGAACCTTGACCTAGTCATTTGAGCGCTTTCTTTCAATGTTCCTCTCAAGAAAATGTATTATTATGTATTTTGGACATGCAAGCCTAGAATGAAATAAGACGCCTCTAATAAGCTTATTTTCTTACCTTCTAAGAACATACCATTTTTCCCTCATAAATCATCATTAATATACATAATATATCATAATACATCAAAAGAAAGGCGCCTCAATTTTCACAAAATAATTTCATCATGAAAAAAACAGTCCATCTCTTATTTATCTCGTAATATTAATTATCCCGTAATTATTAATCCCATAATCTTAATAATACGCATTAAGAAACATAAAATTTTGACTCAAGTATAAATTAGGAAAGATAAGTTTATTTTGCTTTAAAATAAAATCGGCAAAGTAGTAGATGTACCCTTCGATTTAAGGAACGTGAAAAATGCGTTCCAAATCAGGATATCAAACGCTGTAACATGGCTGAAATTCAGATCATAGTTGTTAGTTTGTTTTCTTTTGCTAATATTATTCAACATTACGCTTCATTTACCGACCTTGACTTCTGGGAATCATTCCATATTTTGAAAAAGTCTAACAGCTCGCTTAATTATGTTTCTAGTACCTCATTCCTTCACACTATTTTAAAATTTATTCAAGCACCCTGTTATTTCCACCTGACCTTATAACAGTTAATAAACAGGTATCATACCAGAGCTGGAAGTAAGTGACTTTCTATTGTTATTAATGATGCACCGTATGCACAAACTTGCGCATACGCGCTTTTAATGAAATAAGCAGCGTAAATACCAACATGTAAATTACTTTTTTTACTCGAACGTATTTTTTATTTTCTCGATACTTTCTCCAGTCATTTTGTGATTCGACACTAATAAAAGCTCTTGTATATAGAACCGAAATTATAGTATGTCTATTTTTATGCCTTACTTTGTGCTTTAAACACGTCACTTTATTTATAAGTAGCACGACAGTATATTCCTATCCTCACTTGAAGAACACATAAATTTAACCTGTAGAAGATATTACTATGCTTTATTTTTATTATGAACGTATTCAATTTTATTTAAAATTCTAATCCTAAGATAGAACTAAACTTTAATGGAATAGACAAAGCATTTGTTCTAACTCTTAATGAACTAAAATGTCATTTTCCACGATTGATAACTCATCAATTGAGCTGAAATTTCATTAACAAGGAGATTTTAAAGACAAAAAATAATTCATAAAAGTTTTCGTCTGTTTCAAAGTAGATATAAAACTATATGTTTTTTTTTTTTTTTTTTAAGATGCAATCTTTACTTCTAATATTAGACCAATTTCTTTGTACCATTTGGGGATAAGCAGTGTTTGCTGCAGGGCTGGCAAATTTCACCGATATTTAGGAAAGTGTCAACATTAAATTAAGCAATAATTAATTTTAAATTAGTATACATACTATATATGGGTCATTCTCACGAAAACTGTCATTTTTCAGATCATAAAATCCCAAAAAAGTAAAGTGAATAAAAAGCTCTGAAACTTTTTATATTAATAGAAATATGTAATGGCATTATAAAGAAAGTATATATCCTATAAATTATNTCAAATATTGTTCAGAATTTTTTTTACAATCTTTTTTAACGTTTGAAAAAATCTTTAATATATGCGTTTTAATAATAAAAAGGCTGGCGATAATTGAGTTGTGGGAAAAAAGCTTTATATATATATATATATATATATATAAGGCCGGGATAGCCTGGTTGGTAGGGCACTGGGCCCATGTCCAAGAGTTCGTGGGCTCGATCCTCGCCGGCTGAAGACATGGTGACTGATGCACATTAAATCTGTCGAGAAGCAAAGAAAGTCATCCATGTTCCCATAACAAATCAATACCTCTGGGGGTACTGATCAAGAAGTTTCCTTGTCTTCTAGATTGGTTGAAAATTACAAGGCTACGGAGTTGAACATTAGTAGCCGTAAACACACAATTGGGTCGGCTGTTCAACGACTGTTATAAAATTAGTATATATGAGTCGTGGGGGCTCAGGGGATAGAACGTTCGCTTTCCAATGAGGTGAACCGGGTTCGAATCCCACCAATGGCCGGTCGATACGAATCCGCATCCGGCTTGCACCGACCACAGTGCTGACTTGAAATATCCTCAGTGGTAGACGGATCGCGGGTAAGGGTCCCTTTGCCGTCGGGCTAACCTTGGGAGGTTCTCGTGATCTTCCTCTCCATGTAACGAAAATGTGGGTTAGTTCCATCAAAAAGTCTTCCACGAAGGCAAAATGTCTTCCAATACTTTATCCAGGAGTTCCCTTGTCTTCTGGATAGGGATCAAAATTTCAAAGCTAAGGAGTTAAACATTAGAAGTCGTAAACCCAAAAATTGGGTCGGCTGTTAAACGGCGGTTATAAAATAAAAAATAAAAATTAGTATATATTTTTACTTTTTTTAAGTATGATTCATTTAAAACATTTCAATTCTAAGATAAGATTTGAAAAATTAAATTGAAACAAAATCATTTTAAGGAGGGAGTGCATACATAAATATGTATTATAAGAGCATGGGTCCTGGAAGGTCTCATAATGGCCCCCGATATGAAGGGCTGCCAATGAGGATCAAATCTCAAAACTGTCACTAATAACCACAGAGACTTTAATCATGAAATTACTGCGCATTCAATTTATTTGCATTGTCTTTTCAAATAACTTCGCAACTTAGCTAAATAAATTTACTTTTGGAATTTATGAATCAAGCGATGATTTATTAATAATACATTTATTAAAATTGACTTTTCAATAATTTTTTGCGTTTTTTTCAATAGTTTAAATAATAAAAGATTCAAAAAGTTCGAATGTACATTTTTTGATAAGTTATTACTTAAACAATTTTCAAAATATTCTTAAGCAGTATTTTGTTTTCATAACTATACATTTTATTTTCATAAGTCATATTAATTACGTAACAAAATTATTTCTGTAATCTGTACGTTATTTTTTTTTGTATTTATATTTCTACGTAAACACACCTTCAGAACCAAAAATTCTTCAGACGTTGTGAAAGTTTTGTATACCCATATCATTTGTATCATTTTGTATACCCATATACCTCATTAAAAGGCTCTATGTTATATCATTGAAAAAGGACAGAAAATAAATTATAATCACTTGTGTCAAGTCTGTACTGTAGGGTAGGTGTATCGATTAAAACTGTTGCAGGAGAAATACAGTTTGACGAGAGACATGCGAGCGAATTGATGCGATTTTTAACGAGGTTAAATATGAAATTCAATAAATTGTCAAGGACATGACGAGAAATTGGTATGACCTGGATATAAAGAAACTGCCACAACATCTACAAAAAACATCGTCCGAATAGGCAATATTGTGGCAAGGACACAAATGTTCAATCTCTTTATCCGGACATATATAAAATAATTAAAAAATTCTCATTTCCCTAATGAAATATTCATTTATAGCAACAAATTTAGATTATTAAAATTATAACCCTGTTAAGATGAGAAAAATTAAAGA